ACGGGACAGCGGTCGCAGCTTGTAGCGAACGAAGCTCAAACGGGGCGGGAGGGAAGCACCGAGAGGATGGAGCAATATCAGACCAGGTGCCTGGAGGAGGTGGTGGGGCTTCCACTCTTGGGAGGACTCGGAGCTTGACGGGCGCGTGAGCGATGTCAGAGGCGCAGGGGTTAGGTCAGATGGCCCCCACACGTCTCTTGCAAACAACGTTCCTGTGATTCTGGGCTGCCGGTGGTCAGTGCTGCCATCGCTGTTGGACATGCTAGGCACCCTTGGCATCAGCCCTGGATGATGTTTCCCCCACATCTCTACATCCCCACCTCTCCTGTAGCAGTACTGGGGACGTAGAGGTGTGGGGAAATGCTTTGCTGGGGCACAGTGGATCACAGACAGGGTAGAACCAAGTTGCAATGCTGCTTGACCTGTACAATGGATGGATGTGCATTGGGAATGTTTCCGTCAGCCTCACAAATGGTTGTTTCTGATGGGTCTGATTTGTCTGTAGCTAGGAAGGGGTTAGCTTAACCAGCTATATGTAAACTGTCCCTTCTTCTCAAATTTTCAGTCAAATTTATTACAGCCCTGTCCTGCTATCTTGAAAAGTGTCATGGCTAGCCCTGCAGTAGATGATAAAAGAAATTTTCCCATAAGAAGTTGTGTTATGTGGGGTAATGTGTGCAGTGAGTTATGAAATGTGCACTATCTAAATGCACAAAGGCATGATGCGCAAGATGGGAGTAGGCTTGTCAGCAGGCATGGTTGATGATTTTTCAGTCTTCTTTAAAGAAATAATCACCATTCTGAAAGACCTTTATGCCTTCTTCCATGAGATTGAACATCCAGTATAAATCTATTGTAAGTGTTCTTGCAGCCTGTTTCTAGATGATTACATTTTCCTCATTGCCATCATCTTCCTCAGGTGATTCAAGAAAGATCAAGTCAATCTAGATTGAAGGATGGAAGATGGGGTAGTGATGATGATAATTAGCAGAGCAGGATGTTAAAACAGTCCATGAGGCAACTCTGGAAGCAATGGCTAGAGAAGCAGGATAATGGGATGTTGCTCTAAGGAGCCGCTCTCCAGCTCTTACTGGAGAGAGTAAAATTAAGTAGAATTTTTTCCCAGCCCTTCTCTATTGATTTGAGGCTGTCCCTTTAACTCTTGTTTTGTTTCACTGCTTCTTCCCATAGAGTGATTTTTAGATAGATTTAGATTCTGTAATTATTGCTGTATGGGAGTACTGTTACTGTAATTGTGAATTTTTTCTTGCTAACCCAATTCTCTTGTACAGCTGAATGAGCTAGTGGTGGGAGACACCAACGGGAAACTCTATGTTTACAAGAATGATGACAGCAAACCGTGGACTGTGCGATCTTGCCAAGGAATGGTCAGTTCTTGACAAAGTTTTTAAATGGTTGGGCCTTTTGGTGTATGTGCAGCCAGCTATCTTTGACCACTGCCTAGGAATATGTAGGCCAGAGGGGAATGGCAGCCAGAACTGGTTCTGATGCCTTTCATGTAGTTATGCAAGACCGTGCTTTTGCCCACAGCTAGCCCCATGGGCTGGAAGTGATGAGCAAAGTGCTGAACAAACACAGGAACTGGGCTTCTGTCCCACCTTGACCCTGCTCCTGTGCACTGTGGATTTTGCCCCAGGGCTCTGTGCAGTTGTGTGTCAGATGTGTGTCTGTCCCTGACTCTGCTCTCTTTCACCTTGAAAAGGTTGTTTAGAGTTCAAGAGACGGTGTATGAGAGAGGAGGGGGTAGGGCAGAGGCTTATCCCAAAGTGCTGTTTTGGGTTACCTTCTCTCATGTATGGCCTTCTTTTCTCTTGCAGCTCACATGTGTTGGCGTGGGAGATGTATGCAATAAAGGAAAGGTGAGAGCGGTCAACCTCTTGCCAGCTGTGTCTGTAGGCCACACAGGAGGTGCTTAGGAGATTAGGGTCATGTCATATTCTGACTGTGGAGGAGGACAGGTTGCAGGTGCCTTCTCTCCACGATCTGTCCTTGCTCATAGAGTTTTAGCACTACTGTTTTAAAACTCTTCTTCTGTTTACATATAAACTGTATCTTTCTGTGAGCCATTTGCAGGTTTTAGTGAGCAAAGAAATCCACCCTATCTTCAGAAAGCACTGTTCATATCCATGTCCCCCTGTGTGAGTGCCTTTGGCTTTGGTGATTGTGAGTGTGGCTCCTTTTCCTCGGTGGCTTTTGCCCTGCTCTGTGCTGGTCCCTGCTGTGGGCCATGGCCCTTCTGCCACTTGGCTGTGTGCGTTTAAGGTCGTCTAAACAAGACTGAGCCACAGAATAGTCTAGACTCCCAAACAAATTCCACTGGGTCTAATATGACTCCTTTTGCTGGATTGCTATTTCAGGGGGTTAAGCCAGGACCGCTGAGTCCCAAAGTCCCAGTTTAAGCACACTGCCTAAAATACTGTAGCCATATGTGCTCCGGTGCTGAAGTGAGCATTGAGAAAGCCACACATTGTTAGGGGACACATTGTTAGGGGATTGCTTGTATGCATAGCAATGTATCAGCTTGATATCCTAGTGTGACAAGGATGAAGGAGAAGTTTGGACCCTGCAGTACCCAAGTAGTTTGTATGCTGGGCAAAAACCCTCTCCTGTTCCCTCTGTAGCAGTCATTGATCTTGATGGATCCACCCCCATATCTTCCCTTGCCCTGCTGTGGGACAGTTTCTGCAGTTTCTGAAAGAGGAAAAATCAAAATGTTTTTCCTCTTAGAATCTCGTGGTGGCGGTGAGTGCAGAAGGCTGGTTTCATCTTTTTGACCTGACTTCTCCAACTTCAAAACACCAAGATGCTTCAGGCCACCATGAGTTGGCAGCAGCAGAAGAGCAGAAGCCAGTGTTCAAGCAGCACATTCCTGCCAACACCAAGGTCATGCTGATCAGTGACATCGGTGAGCTGGGAAACTGGTGTAGGAGTGCAGAGTGAGGGAGTTTGTGGTTATGAGGTGATGGGGGAGAGAGAGAGAAAGTGTGTGGGAGTCACAGAAGGAAATTACTATCTTGCTCAAACAGGTTCTCTAACAAACCACAACCAGGTCATGGAGGAGAGAAGCAAGAACTTCAGGAATTTTCCTGAAGTGCAAGTTCTCATTACAGGATTGGGATTCTCAGGGATGCTACTTGATGGAAACCAGTGCAGTGGTTTCTGAAAGTTGGGGCTCTTGGGGCTGTGGAAGCCTGAGAGAGCCCATCTATCTCCTTGTATTCCCTGCAGATGGAGATGGGAAGTGTGAGTTGGTAGTGGGTTACACTGACAGGGTGGTACGTGCCTTCCGCTGGGAGGACTTGTCGGAGAATTCAGACCACATCTCTGGGCAGCTGCTCCTGTTGAAGAAATGGCTGCTAGAAGGTCAGGTAAGGAAATGGAATGTTCAGAACAGAATTTGTCATACAGTCTTCAAAGAGGTATCTCTCCCAAGGGAAGAAGCACAGAATGTCATGTTGATGGCTTGAAAGGAGATTTGCGCAGTGGTTGTCCTGTACGTGTGGAGCACCTGGTGGGCTGGGCTGCGAAACAGTCAGTTGCTCTCACCCAACTAGAGAGCATTAGTGGAAAATACTAGTGTTGTTCTTAAGTGGCTTTTGCTAGGGGAAACATAACCTTTTACAGTAATTTGGACATTTTGCTTCTATCTGAATTTGTTCAGTTCCTGCTCAGCTCTGTCAAAGGATATGCAATATTCAAGTTTAGGTACAAGGAGCCAGTGAACCCTTCTGAGGTGTTTAAAGTTCTCAGTTCGACTCTGTCCATGTCTTTCCTCTGCCAGTATAGGTGGACAGCCTCTCTGTGAACCCAGGCCCTGACGGATCACCAGAGATGATGGTGTCTCAGCCAGGCTGCGGTTATGCCATTCTGCTGTGCACCTGGGACTCTCAGCAGCAAGCCACGACAGAGGGAAGAGACAACTCTCCCCCAAGCAGGTGAAGAGCATTACTGCATGGGGTAGATGAGGAGATTCTGCTGTAGATGCCCATCACAAGGGGGCACCACCACACCACCTTTCTAAGGGTGTGTGCTGTCATTTGTCCTTGTTTCAGTGACCTGCTGTACTGCTGGGAGTTCATGACTTAAGCTCACCTGCACCCATGAACACTCTTCGTGTCTCTATCACAAAGATGAATGCTACTGCTTTCCTTGTACCCCACTCACTTATCCTTGGGTTGAGCAAGGAGAGTGGCAAAACCAGCTCACTAAGGAGGACAGTACTGTGGGCTAAGGCAGGGAAATGAATGCCCTAGATCTCCAGAGACAAAGTGGTAGGCAATCTGGTGACCTATCTAATTGTGGTAAGGATAGCAACTGAAAGGCTGGACCTAGTCCAGTTAGTCTGAAGCCCAGGATGACACTTTGGGTTCATTCAGTCATTTCTTCCAGGTGACATAATGGGAGGTTTTCCCTGGCAGCTAGTGCTGTAAGTCACAACCAGAGCATTCGGGATGAGCAGTGAGGTTTTTGTCCTTGGTGCTGGAGGGACCCTTGTAGGGTCCCTTGTAGGGAATTTAGGTGCTTCTGTGGTGTTCTGTGAGACTTTAAGGCAGAGCCGGAAAAGTGCAGCAGGATGGGAGCTAGGCAAGTCTCTTTGATGTCTTAAAGACCTTAGTGGAATGGTACCCTCATAGCCAGAAGCCAGGCACAGGCATGATCTCTGACCAACCTGTTAAACCCCAGGCCGACACTTCCTAAGTAAAAAGCAGCCAGGCTTACATGACAGTAATGATAAAAATTGTCCTTTTCAGCTTGATTGGAATACATGTTTTACTGGCTTTTTTTGTTTGCTGTTTTGAGCTCTTTCCAGTTTTCTTATGCATCAAATTATTCTGGTTTTGTTTTTTAAACATCAGCAAGTTCCTTTCATACCTGGGGTGACATGCATTCTTTTCCTTGGCCTTTACCATTAAAGGGCTAACCTATGCACAAACTCTATCAATCTCAGGATTTGTAGAGCTTTGGAGTACACTGCTCTTGAGATTGTTCTGGCACAGTCCCAGGCACGGTTCCCTAACCTTTCCCTGATGCCTGTCTCTCTTTTCCCTAGTGAGGCCCCTATTCGAGATGTTATTCTACACCAAACGTCTGGACGGATTCACAACAAGAATGTTTCCACTCATCTAATTGGTAGCATTGGCCGAGGTGAGAGGTTAGGAGCTTGGGGTCTATAGCCCAACAGTTGCCCCGATCATTTTTCAATATGTCAGTCCAGCATGAAATCAGATTTCCCATGGTTGAAAATTAACAGTGGGAGACATCTGCGAGAACAGAGGGAACTTGGCTTCTGTTAGTCAGCTCCCACAGACAGACAGTAGGATATTTGCATTTGAACTGTCCCTCCCTAGGTAGCTCTTACTCTTCACCTGGGACAGCAGTTTCGCTGCAGGCTCCAGTGGCCTGCCTTTAGCCATCCTGAGTGGCTCCATGCCTTGCTCCTACAGATGTCCTTGATCTTTGCTTTTGCTTGGCTGCAGTTTATGCCCTCTTCTTATTCCCTAGATGCATCTCTTCCTTTCCACAGCCTCATCTTTATTCTTGCTTTTGTGCTTTTCAGCATTTGATTACTGATATAGACTATCCTAATAGCTATATCCTGCTCTTCCTTCATCTATGCAGTCCTGACCCCTCGAGGGCTGCTTCCATATTTCATTTGTATCACTGTTCTCTGTCTCCTTTGAATGTATTCTGTTCAGCTTTTGTATCTAAACTCTCTACAGCTGCTGGCTCCTCTCAGCCCTGACACGCTGCTGTTGTGTCCAGACTTTATACATACTGCCACTGCTTCTTTGTGTAGCTGCCTTGTGCTCTGACCTGTGCTTGGTGCACCTGATGAACCCTGTTTTGGTACCTGTGGAGAGTAAGCAGCTTTCGCTCCCCCTTGGAGAATGTGGGCATAATACAAGAAGACAAAAAATTCCCAATGCAGATCACTTTCTCTTGTCTGCAGCTGACGCTGCATTTGCTCTGTCAAAGTATTACCCCCTGCAGTGCTGTCTGAGAATGATTTAGGCTGTCCAATGTAATTAGAGCTGGGGGAGAAGAGCAATCAAACTACTCCTCTTCCCCATCCCCAGATTACCTTTCCTCCCCGGTGTACTCTTTCCTCCCCAATTCCTAAGCTTGTCATGTTTTCAGCATCTTGGATGATGCGATGAGCAACATGGTCAAGAGAGCATGAAATCAATTATTTCACAGCATACAAAGCCTTGCATCTAATGAGAGGTGTCTGTCAAAAATGAAGGCACTCAGAATAAGGAAAGAAGAGAAGGTTGTGAAAAGCCCACTTACATTGGCCCATCAGTAATGAAACAGTTGAAGAGTGCCATGCTGACCAGTTTTTAAGGGGGACACAGCAGACCTTTGGATCAGAGCCTGTCTGGATGAATGTCAGCTAGGGGCAACAGAGCACTCAACCAGCTGACTGCTTTAAGCTGATCTGCAGAAATAGGGTAGTCTGTGTCCTGGGAGTGTGCAGGATGTTGTAGCTTGGAGCTGTCTATGGGTAGTGGATGTGTACTTGTAGTATTACATCATTCTGGGGAAGCTGCTTTCAGCTCTGGTGGCTTGTCCCTGACTGCCAGAATTCCTTGGTTCCTGCAGACCTCCTACATTGTCACTGAAAGGATTAAATGCAGCTTTAGTTGAATACAGCTCCAGTCCTCTCACACCAAGTGTGATTTCACTTTCAAAACCTGACCTTGCATGTTTTTTCTGACTGATAGTTCAGTAGAGAGTGTACTGAATGGCTGAAACAGCCCAGTGGTCAGGGGAGTCTCCTCTTCAGATTTAACTAGTCGCATTTGTCAGTGCTGTCCTGCACACAGCTGTAATATACAGGCTTTGGAGGGGATACTATGGCAGGAAGTTCACAGCTATATAAGCATAGCCCAGGAAAGCCAGGGCTGAGTGTGTAGATGAGCATGAAGGGACATGTCCAATCTGCTCATAAAGCAAGGGCTCTCTAGCATCTGAGCAGTGTTTGCTGGGAGAGGATCACAGCTTCTGTGCAGTTTTGCTGTAGCAAAAACAGTAGAGTGGGTAGCATGATCTCCACAGACTCTTTCAGGAGTTGCCATAGAGGTGCTTTTGTGCTAATGTGACTGATGCTTTGTCTGGGACCTCTCTTTCTAATCCTGCACCTTCCTAGAACAGCTGAAGGCCGTGTTCCTGTCCTTGAAAGAAACAGTGAGGGTACAGTTGTAATACTCTTGTTGGGTTTCAGCTGTTCTTTACATTGTCCCTTGTGATGGTCCTGCCTGTGTTTGTGCATTTCTGGAGCCTGGAGAGAATGCGATGCAATCCACTAAAATCAGAAATGCCATGGGCCTGCAACTGTATATGTGGTACAGAAAAACTCCTAGGAGCAGCCAGCAGAGCCAGACATGCCTGTATCAGTGCAAACCAAAGGTTTTGGGTTTTGAGATGATGGTGCCCTACAAATAAAAGCCAGAACAAAGTACAATTGGTTGCAAGAATCTACAGATACCTGCTAAGCAAAGTGTCGAGGCTGGGTAAAAAAGGAGGCAGGATGGATCAGCTTGTTTTAGATCCACCCCCCCCCCCCCAGGAGAGGGAGGGGACAATGCTCATAAAATGACATCAACTCCTGTAATTCTCTTCTACACTTACAGGCTGCTCCAGTGACAATAGTGGCTCAGGTCTCTTTGCCCTCTGTACTCTGGATGGTAAGTCCTACCACTCTCCTGGAAGAAAGGCCTGTGGGGCGGCCAAGGCCTGTGACTAATTCAAAGTAGGGAACGAGGGGCTCAGTGCTTTTGGTTTTGAAAGAATGGGGAGCTGGTCTTCAGAAACATTTCATGGGTCAGGTAAGAGAATTTGACTCCTAAGACAGGAGCCAAGGTAAGAGTTGTCACTGTGACCAAGTCCCCCATAAACCACATGTGATATAATGCCTGTATCTGAGGATATGATGAAACGTATTAAAGCTGAGCCTGTCTTTCTGGTTCTTACCAAATTGGGTCTGATATTGCACAGGCTTGCTCTCTCCAGGAGACTGGTTGTGTTTTCTATCTGTTACTAATATCTGCCTTTCTCTCTCCCCTGGTACAGTCTATTCATTTGTGGATTTCAAAGCATTTTACAAACACTAATTATTTGTGTGGTCCCATGGCCTATGGGGGTAGCAGTATTAAAGCCATGCTGCAGCGAGCAGCCAGGAAAATGAAGAGACTAGGTCATTGGCCCAAAGGCACACTGAAAGCTTGAGATGAGAGTGAGGCTACAACTTTAATCTGCTGACTCCTAAGTTGCGTGCTTAACCAATGGTCAAACAACTGTTTGAGATGTCACTTCAACAGTGCCATTCATGTAGACAGGAGCCTCTTAACCACAGTAGAAGTATATGCTTGTACTTGAAGAGACTTGGGTAGTTTCCAAGTAAAGGAAATGGGTGTTGGAACTCAAGTACTGGTAGAGAGGAGCTGGCCTGGCCTCACCTGGTCTGGAGCCAGGTTCTTCCACTGGACTCCTGACTGAGAATTGATTGGACAGGCTGCAACAGGACTGAATCTAATGACCTGAACACAGGGTTTCTGTCCAAAAACCAACAGTGTGGAGACAAGATGCTGTGCTTCTCTCTTCCCAGACAGGCAGCCTGGTCTGTTTGGGCCAGATGTCCACCTGCCCAATGGCATCTTGCTAGGGAATTTCTGATTATTCTTTGAGCCTGAACTTGAAGCTTCTGCACCCCATTCAGTCATGGGCTTTACCAAGACTGGAGGGTACTGTGAGGATAGATTCATGTTCCACTCTCTCATGGCCACCCCTCAACCCCAAGACTATCACAGTATCTCTGGATGATAGAAAAATGGTGTGTGAGGTCCAGTGTGGTTTTAGCAGCCAAAAGGCGATGCCCATGCTATTAGCCAGGCAGCTCTTGGCTGATACCTGTCAACGTGTTGTCCTGAGATCACACTATCTGTGGGACATGGTGAGAAGCTTCTCATTTATGCATTGTCTCATGAGATCTGTTGACATACTATACTTCGGGAGCCTGTTTTGGGTTGTTTTCTTATCTTGGAGCACAATCCAGTGAGTAGGGCTGCTGCCATTTTTCCTCTATTTTCAGTTACTGATGACAAGATAATGGACTGCTGTCCTTCCCAGAACTGAGGTTGTGTTATCTTATTATCAGCCTGTACCATGGGTCCAACCCTCTGCCTGCAGACCTGAAGTGTTGAAGGAGTGTGCAGGGCCCAGTGTTAGCAAGCATCTTGCTCCCTTTTAATATTTTCAAGACAATCTTTTTTTTTTTTCTTCTTTTTTCCTTCAGGGACATTGAAACTCATGGAGGGAGCCGACAAGCTGCTCTGGTCTGTGCAGGTTGATCACCAGCTGTTTGCTCTGGAAAAGCTGGATGTTACTGTGAGTTTCTGTGAATAGGGCTGGGAGGGATAAAGACAAAAACTTGATATGGCTGTGTGTATATGTATTTAGGAAGGGCAGAGCTGGGATTATCTCAGGGTGGCACACGGGGTGCACTAACTGCTGGTGCATTCTGCACTTCATCAGTTTTTCACCTGCAAGAGGCTGAGCTGTGTCTGTCTGTTTGACCTAGTAAGCCCAGCATCCTGCTATGAACTCTTTTATCCCCCAGCTGCTCTTTTATCTTATTGCAAGGTTGAATGGTTTTACACAGTGCTAATACCCCGATTATCTACAAGCTCTTACGATATATAAGGATTACAACAGAGGAGAGAGAGAGATGGTCTCCAAGTGCAAAAAGACTGGACAAGTGCAAAATGTCTGGACAAGACGTCCAAAGGTGTCATCTTGTTCAGACATTAGTGTTCTGTCTCTGAACAAGCAGCAAAGATTCTTGATTGCCTCTGTGAATAGTTGATGTCCATGTTAATATGCGATCTTATGATCCCTACAGGGCAATGGGCATGAAGAGGTGATTGCCTGTGCATGGGATGGTCAGACATACATCATCGACCACAATCGGACTGTTGCCAGATTTCAAGCAGATGAGAATGTCAGTGCATTCTGTGCAGGTGGGGAGCCTGACTGCAAAGCCAGTCCTCACAGCATTTCTCCCTCAAAGCTACTACTCCCGTCTAGGAGACCTGAAATCCTTTGTCAGTCTGTGGTCAGGAATAATTTCCCTGTGTGTATACTGCAGAAGGCCCAGCTCGTCTTTCCTCTGGTGGCGTCTGGGAAAATTAGGGGTGAGAGGAGGTGATGCTGAGGTCTGTGATGGTTTTGGGTTTTTTTCCTGTCCTTTTTGGGAGTGCTACAGTGGTCTCTTGTCTTCCCCACTGCTTTTTTAATTTGCAGACTTCTAAGCTGTTCTCAAGTGGAGATAAGGAGCGCCACAGAACGAGCCTGAGCCTTAGCTTTGCTCAGTCCCCTCTCTCAGACCTGCCAGAAGCAGCTTGCAAATCCCCAAGCTCCATGCATTAATAACAGTTTAAAGACACTTTCTTGGATTGTCTCAAAGGCACTTCATATACCCATATGTTTACTGCTTTCTGCTAACAGCTTTGGTACCTCATCATGAGAAGTTACCTATTTGCTTTCTCTGTCCTTTTGGAAGTAGTCAGATCTCCACACTTGCTTTCTGCAGGACTCTATGCATGCAAAGGAGGAAGCAACAGCCCCTGCCTGGTTTATGTCAGCTTCAATCAGAAGATCTACATCTACTGGGATGTGCAGCTGGAGAGAATGGAGTCCACCAACCTGTTGAAAATCCTGGACTGTGACCCAGAGTTTGGAAGTCTCCTGCAGCAGCTGGGTGTGGGTGAGTGCAGAAAGGATCAAAGATATACAGGAAAAAAAAGAGAGGAAGGGCTGCTGGCAGGTGATGTGCTGGGAACTAGAGTTCCAGGTACTTCTTCAGGAAGAGGGGCTTTCATGCTGCCTGTGGAGAATCCCTAACAACTGTCTTTCTCTCTTTTCCATAGATAGAGGTGATGTTTCTGCCGTCAAAGATCTGATTCACAAAACACTGTATTTTCCAGAGAAACAGGAGCAGAGCAGCCCCTCACAGTGTCAGGACCCTGCTGGGAGAGACTCCTCTGCCCACTATACTGTCATCCAGGATCCCTTATAACAAGTCATGGAGGTTGACATCTTTAATACCAGCACAAAGTCTTCTCTGGCTGGAATTGAGCACCTAATGAAGATGTAACTGTTCTTTTCTCATCTCTATCAAAGCTTCCAGGCAGCAAAAGGGTGTACAGGCTGGGTTCTGTGGAGGGATGTGCTTGGCTGTAGGCTTGAGTGAAGGTGATGGGTTGATTTGCTTTTAGTTGAGGAAGCTACCACAACTGCAAGAATCCAGAGTCCTGCTCATTGACTTTCCATTGCCAGTTTCCATGTTCTCTGCTAGCTAAAGTGCTTTATGGGTGACTGTGAAGGAGCACTGAGCACATAGATAGAATAGCTGAGCTCAGTCTTGGTTTTGGCCTGTTCTTACAACTGCTTTAGTGATTAACTAAACTTACAACTGATTTAGTGATTCTGAGTTCTTGGCAGGATCACAGTGCAGGAACTGCAGATGAAGGACTTGAGTTAGGGAGCAGGCGAGGGCCTTCTTTCGCATTTAGGTGTATTTTTAAAGTAGACCCAGACATTGTTTGCCTTTGCTCTGCTGCTGCTCTTCTACCAAGCAGTTTCTCACAAACCACCTCCTGTTCTGAGGAAGAAGAACCAGAACTTGCACTAATAAGGTGTCAGGAGGTAATAGCTCCAGTGAACCCCAGCTGTACTTGAGAGGCATTGTTTGCCTCCATCTTGGGCAGACTGATCACAGAGATGGCTATCACTTAGCAAAGCAGCTGTGAACTGGGCAATAAGAGGAATCTGTCTTAACCATGGATCTGTGGTGCTGTGAGAGCTTGGCCATTCCATAATAACCAGAGGAAATGCCACACTTCCCTCTTGTTGTGGAGAGTGCCATGCTATCCCGAGTCCTGCACAACTGAAAGTTGTGGACTGGAGGTGACATTTCACTTGCTCAATATGCAGAATCTGGAAAAGGCCGTTGCTCACCCAGGCTGCTCATATGCAAAGGCCCAGGCAGGAACCTTTCTACATGCTGCTGGTGTTCTGCTTTTCCCAATCTCAGCTTGCCCCTTGCCTAACTCTGCTTACTAGGATAGGAGCAGCAGGCTCACCTGCTGTTTTGCATCTATTATAATCTCTCACTTGTGGGATGTTTTATTGGATATGCATAATGGATGGAGCTGTCCTTTCACCCTTATGGCAGCCTGAGTCAGAGCAAATATAATTTTGTGATCTCTCTTTAGCAAATGGTAATATTTCAAGGTCCTGCAGGCTGTTGAAAACCTGCTGTTCTGTACTCTGCAAAACAACCAAGGGCAGCCCTATCTGGGAGAATGATAGGAAGAGGTACAGAGGAAAGGGGTGTCTTGCCCTTGGGTCAAAAGGACTGTTGTTGAAGTAGCCCTATGTGGTAGAAGGGTAGGATCTTTACATAATAAGCCCTAGCTTTTCTTTGCAATTTCCATCCATAGATTTATATCAGCTTTATAGAGGACAGCTTGTCCTCTGTGTTTGATAGTTGTGAAAGTTGAAGCATGGAGCAGTGAAATGATATGACCTGCTCTGTACTTGCTAGCTTGCTTCTTGGACCACTTTATCTTCTGACTCTGTAACTACAGTGCAAGTTTCTCTCCATTTTAATGACCTCACTGAGAAGCAGTTCCCCTGTCATACTAAGTGCTTGTGTACAACTGGACCCTTCAGGCAGGAGCTCGCAAGTCATAATAGTGCTTTAGTAACAGTGGTGTTCAGAGCAGCAGAGCTTGAGTTTGTCAGCTATGGAGAACTGGTAGGGTAGGGACCACCTACTGATGGGCTAAAGCAAAGAGTTGTCCAGAAGCTTGTCAGCTCTGGACTCTAACCTCAGGAAATTGTCAGCTTCCATGATGCTGAGATGTACAGCCACCCATCCCAGTGGGAAAAAACCGTTGCTTCTGGCAAATTAGTCAATGTGACCCCTTGAGCTCTCATCAGCCACATAGTTCTTTCCTAATGAGGATGAGTCTTGTTGGGGCTATTAACTAGATCACTATATATTTGTTCTTGCTACTTCCAGGTTTCTGTTTCCCAAAACCTAAAGCTGCTCTTTCTGATCACCAAAACAAGTAAAGATTCTCCCCTCAGGTGAATTAATAGCAGTTGCTACTCTTATCTCTTCCCTTTGGGGTCCAGCTCAGTTGGGAAGAAGCAGATGTCCCTGCAGGTGGGGTGAATAGTTTGGTTTCACTGTATTCTGAGATACTGTCCACCTAGCCCTGTTGCTACCTGAATTTTAATCTTGCACTTCAAAATTGGTGGAACTGGCACAAAGAGGGACCACCACGGAGCAGGACTTTGCAGAGCACTTTCCAGAAGCATACAACAGAAACAACATTGTAGTAATGACCCTGGACAGGCCTGTGTCTTGGCATATGCTGTTCTTCCTCTACTTAAGGCTTTGTATTTTCTTGTCCTGCTGTCCTCTCGCCCTTCCCCCCTAATCTGTGGTCTCTGTCTCCCCCCACCAGGGGCAGAAACAGGATGGTTACAAGCAACAGAAAATAGTAATGCCTGAGTTTTCAGTCATGGCTCGCATGCTCGTATCGCATGTGTACTGCTGCACAGATGGTGAGCTCTTCTTCTGTGTGTGCTTTGACAAAACCAGATGGAGTCCCAGCACAACTTGTGCCTGCCATGGCCCCACTCAGCATTGTTTGGCTTTGGTGGGGCAGGTGTTCTCCACAGAAGTAGCTCTCTCTCTTGATCCACTGCTGGGACCCCAGAGGTTCCTGCAGCAATTGCCTGGAGCATTTTATTTGCCTTAGAGTTGGTCCAGGCTGAGCTAATCTGGTAGCTGGGTCTTACAGGCTATTGCAGTGCTGCTGTATATTGTAATTCCTTCTTGAGGCCTAACAGGAAAACAGGTTTGTCTACACTTATAATAGAGAACAACTCAATGCTGTCTGTCCATGCCAAATATAAACCTTTATTAGCAACACAAGCGCAAGGGGAATACAAATGGTCGTATGACTGAAACTGTTTTATGCAAAAAAACAGTTTTTGCCATACAAGTCAAATGATTTCCAAGAAAGGAAGACCAAACTGATCCACTATTGGGCTGTTAATTGTTGAGAAAAAACAGGAAAGGGTTAATGGGGGAAAGATGACATTTTCCTAGGAACTGTGTTTAAAAGAAAATGGGGCAAAAACAATGCAAATGTTGGACAGGGCAAGCGGTGCAACGTAGCCCTCTTCTCGTGTTGGCTTGAGGATAACTGCTGTGTTGCTGTACAAGACCAGGTATGCTGCATTGTAGAAAGCAGAAGTAAGAAGATAGATACAAACACTACAGATAATCCATTCTCCAAAACTCTTCAGCTCTTAAAAACATTTGAGGGTTTCCCCTGACAGTTTTATATTGCTTACAACACATAATAACTTGCAGATGGATTTTGCTCCTGTGCCAGTTGTGCACAAAGGAAAATGAAAACTGTCTCCAGAAGAATTAACTGGAACTTCCGTACTGTTCCTTGGCCAAAAGATGACTTTCCTTCTTCCTTCATGCCCTGAACTCCAAAGTGACAGTTAATAAACTAGCTACAGCCAATGCTGTAGTCAATGAAGTCAATGCTTCAGGCTACTTCCACTAGCAACAATTTTCTGTGAAGTATACATATGCTCAGAGAAGGAGCCACCTAGGCTCTGTCTCTGGACTGATGGAGTTACGTTATACTTTCATTGTAACTCAGTGTCTGTTTGTCCTTGCCAGGCAATGCAAGCCACAGAGTTGGAATTGGAAGTTGTTCCTTCCCACGCAGCAGAAAATGTTGTCTGCTGCATCCTACTCAGTAGCAGATTGGCATACCCACTGAAGCTTTTTGACAGGGCAAGATTTGCAAGACACATTTGTATGCCCTAGTGCCAACATGTGAGGAGTCCAACAGCATTCTCAGACACTGGGGGCATTTGCAGATAAATGATTCATGGTTTTGGTTGTGACGCTGTATTTACTAGGAAGAAAATAAAGAGAGGGGGTTGCTTTATTTTCCTGAGACATAATAAACCTGCTGTCTGTCCCTGCTCTCATTTTTATGGTCTCTTTGATGATTGCAGTTATTTCTATAACTCTTCAGGTATATCCTGGCATTTGCCAGTGCAGTCTTTTGAAAGGAGGACTTACTGCAAACATACGGGACATGGTTTAGTGAGCATGATGGTGTTGGGTTAACAGTTGGACTTGATGATCTTAAAGGTCTTTTCCAACCTTAATGATTCTGTGATATGTAGGTATCTCAGTGGTCTTCAGTTCCATAACTCACCTGCTAGTAGTGAAAGAAGGAGCAGGCCTCTGGGACTATGGATGGCTGGAGCTCCCATTCTGTTTAAAACCAAGTGACTCCAAGCTTCTGGAAGTGGTCCCGATTATGGCTTCGGCAGAGTGTATGTTCTTAGGATGGGTTTACTTCTTGCACGTAGGCCTTGGAAAGGGCCTTAGAAGTCCATCTCCCCATCCCCAGACATTCAGCCATACATATCTCACACCTGCCATGTAGCACTTGCTTCTTTGTTCCAAAGGTTTGCTGTGACAGACACTTCGCGGCAGACTGTTTCACTACTGTTGTGTCCACTCTACTAGAAAGTAGCCCTAGTAGGAGCTGACCGCCAAGGTGGTTCAGAGAGAGAATAACATTCCATTGTCTATATTGAAAGGGTGGGCCTTGTCATGAGGAAGCCAGTGTTGGACACATACAGGATGTGCCTATGTCCTGCTCTGAGGTGCCAGTTTGTACTAAATTTCTACTTTCCATATGAAAGTATTAGCATTTTTTGATCTCTAGTGGAAAGACCTTTAGATAGCTCCTTTTTTCCCCTTGTCCCCCAAAAGCAATAGAGATGACTGGAATCGGGGATAGGGAAGTGTATCTGTATAATAGCCTTTTCCAAAAGAAACTACAATTGAGACAAGTCTTCAGCCTTGCCAACCCACTTAAAAATTACTGGACTCCCTAACATAGGAAGACTTTCAAAAATTACCATGTTTGTAGATGGGGTTGAGTTTGCTTCTTT